CGGGGCCCTCCTGGCCCCCCCCGAGCCACAGCGCTTCTGTGCGGGCTTGGGGGACCTGGGGGCAGGGCTCTCTGGGCCTTCCCCGAGCCGCAGTGCTTCTGCGTGGGCTCGGGGGACCTGGGGGCGGGGCTTGCCACCACGCGGGCTGCCGGAGCGGTGCTCCGGCGCGCTCCAGCCCCAAAAGACCCCTGGATGTTCTAGAAACTATTTCAATAAGCATTCCAAAACAACTCTGAAATCATGCTATAATGTCTAATATTAACTATTATAGCAATGCATTATGTATACAGGTGTTAAGAACTGTGTCAACTATCAGTTCCCTCCTCATCCTTTATTTCCAGTTGTCTGTTTTGAATGGAAACCAAATGGTTCAGCTGTTCTGAATGGAAAGAAATACACTTACTGCTTCATATTCTCTGTGTGTCACTCTGGTGGGTCTTTTAAGCCTGCTCAAAGCCACAGTTCACAAACTTTTAGAGCTAACTTCTGAGTATGAAAACCTCCTCCATGAAAATGTAGTTTGGCATGTGCATACCCTGAGGGGAGGAGGCACTTTTAATGGAAGATTTCCCCCCTTCTTTGGCCACCCTTTGGAGGTTATTAAATAAACAGTGGCAGTATTTAGGGCAAAAGCTTTATGTTTATCCAGACAGCAGTTAGTGACCTTTAAACATGTCACTGATTGTGAGGTAAAGGCCATGGTCGCTGCCATTACCGTTCATCTACAAGGGCTCAGTTTGCTCTTTGAAAGAGAGGGCCTCCTTAACAAAAAGGTTCATATCTGCTTTCTCTCTTAAACAACAGAAGTGGCAATTCTGGAATATGACCCCCAGAAGACAGACTTTGTTATGCTTCATCAGAATGTTCTTCATTTAGAAGGCCCTTCTTTTCAACACAGAAGTCCTCCTCCTCTATATCTTGGTTTTCTGATAATCAGTCCAAAGATTCATTTGGCTTCAAGCAGGCCATTTGTGGGTTTGTGTGACTTTTCTCCACCTCCCATTCTTCCAATTCCATTAACAGCATTCAGTCTTGGAGGCCATATCATCAGACCATTCAGTCTTGGAGGCCATATCATCAGACCATTAGGTAATCAAGCTGGTATATACCATAGAGTTCTCTTTGTTTTTCCCATCCACAGAAATAGGTGGTATAAAAAGTATTACATTCCCAAAGGGGCACAGGGATCTACTCCAAGTACTTCATCATCCCAGAGAAAGACTGAGGTCTTCATTCCATCTTCATTGTCAGTGGTGTTAATAACTACATCAAGAGCAAGAAGTTCTGATTAGTGCCCCTAGCATCCATCTTGCTCCTCCAGACATCAGGAACCTGGTTTGCACCTTTGGCCCTTAAGTGCACCTAGTTCTACAGCCTGATTCTGTCACAACACTTTCTCCCTCTGAGAGGAGGACATCTTGATGGGTGTTTCCCACCCTATTCTTAGGGAGGCAGGAACCAAACTTCACTTCCTGTCCTCTCGGTGGGACACGCCCCTCAATTCAGTTTTGTTCCTGCCTCAGTAGGGAGAGCAGCACGAAGTTGGGACTCGTGCCTTTTTGACTATTTTCTGATTCTACTGGCTTTCTTGTTTTAGCTTTAACTCTGTAGATGTTCCTCCTTCTCTGCGCCTCCTCCCCCACTTGTTCTCCTCTGCCTCCTACCTTTTTTCGTTCCTTTCCTGAACTCCCGCCTGATGCTCCGGCCTGGAGCATGTCAGACCAGGGAGACTTGGACGGATTCCTCTCAGAAAACTAGAGGGAAAACACTCTGCCGCTAGCACAACCCAAATGGGCAAAATTAAACTGCAGCCTCTACCTCTGCCACCGAGGGCCTCGCTGCGACACAAGGAAAGCACGCCAAAAAAGCAGCCCCATACTCCGCCTGCGGTGCATGCCACAGGCGCCATCTTGGATCAGGCGGCAAAGCAGAGACCCCTGAGGAAACGGGAGGGCTGCGGGGCGGCTGTCGCTGCTACCATAAGCCAATATATGCCTAGTGCCGGTGTCCTGGACATTCCCAACACCCAGGGCCTTCCGGCGACGCCTTCTGATGATGCGGCATTACCTATGGGTCTACTCTTGAGTAACCTAAAAAGGGGCACGGATGCAATTTTAATGCCAGAATAATGCAAGCCTTCGGGCAAGTTATGAGGGAAGAAATTTCTAACTTTTATAGGGATTCAGCAGTAGGGGATGGTAGCCACTTTCCCTCTTATAGCCCTTTCAGTCGCTACCTCCAGGAAGAACTGGACCGACCTTACCAGGAGGAGGAACGGCCTCACTGGCCGACCATGGCAGCTAGAAAAGATCATTTTTCTTCTATGAGGGCTGTTCTCTGTGGGATCTTTCACAGATTGAGGACAGCGAATGGGGGATAGGGGGAAAGGGGGGGGCTCAGAGGAGGAGGAAGGAGAGTAGAAGGAGATTCCAGAACCTTCTGTGATATTTTTCAAACCCGAGGACTACCAATATTACCTTAAAAAGGTCTTGTCTGCCTTTGGAGCTTCACCCCAAGCCTAGGGCAGAAGACTCCTCCAGAAATGACCCTGCAAATTGGTCTAGTCACAGAGGAAGCTAAGACTTTCCCCGGGACCCTTGGGATGTAGAAAGTATTTTCCCTTTCTCTGAACTCTTAAAAACAGTTGGCTAAGGAATGCTATAGCTAACAAACGTTGCCCTCCTAATATTAAGAAACTATGTTTTGCTTAACTTTACTGTTAAAAGTTCTTACAGGTCCCCCTAGTGGATGCACCAATAACAGCACCCCAAACTGCTGGCCTCGTCTCTGAAGATGGAGAGGGAACGGTAAGAGACAGACTAGATAGAATAACAGAATTTGCACTGTGCAAGGCCACAGCTATGGCGATCAGAGTTTCAGCCACCACCACCGTGGTAGCAAGAGCATCCATAGCCTGATCTAAGACGCTTGTCCAGCTGATTGCCAACTCCAACAGTCACTTGGCAGAGGAAGCAAATAGGCTTCTGCAGGCCTCATCCTTGCTGACTGACTCCACATGGAATGCCATGCTTTTTTCTTCTAGGGCAATGGCTTAAACTGTAGCTGCCAGAGGAGCCTTTTGGCTCCAGGCGTGGCAGGCCAATCTACATGCCATAGCCATCATCACTGCATATTCCTTTCAGGGCAATCGCCTGTTTGGTGATTCCTTAGTCAAGATCCCCATTGAAATGGAGGTTAAGAAGAAGGCAATGCCAAAGTCACTGGGTAGATGAAGGATGGGACATAACTCAGCGGTTGAGCATCTGCTTGGCAGGCAGAAGGTCCCACATTCAGTCCCTGGCATCTCCAGATAAAGAACCTGGCAAGTAGATGATGTGAACGCTTTCTTTGTAACCAGACAGAAGAGGCACAGGCGGTCTCTCCTGTTGCGGCCAAAGACCCTTTAACAGGTTCAATCGAGATGTTAGACTACCTTCATAGGGAACATCCAGACAAACATCAGGAGAAATCCCTTTCACAACAATCCAGGCAGACCCTTCTCCCCTAGGGATGACAAATCAGGAAGAGACATCTAGGCACCCACGGCATGACTATGCCTCGGCGCCGGTGGGGGACGCCTATTGCTATTTCACCAGGAATGGGTCAAGTCCAATGCAGACAGCTGGTCTTGGGAAGTCACTTCCAAAGGCTCCTCCATTGATTTCCTGAGCAGAACCCCAGTCCGCCTCATCCCCTCACCGATAATAAAGGACTCTTGTCAAACTACAAGAACTCTGAATGTTATTCATCATCTATCCAGCGTCCTGGCCATAGAACCAGTTCCCTTTACCGAGAGAGATCAAGTTATTTACTCGATCTTTTTTGCCGTTACAAAAGTAACAGAAGCTGGAGGGCCATTTTGGACTTGAAGCTCATAAACGAATTTGTGAAGTTACCCTTCACTCCATCACAGAGGTCCTACAACCAGGGGAGTTCCTGACATCAATAGACTTTTAAGAGGGGCATGCCTACATGTCCCTATCTTCAGCTCTCAGCACAAGCCTATACAGGACACGTCAGACACTATCCAACGTCTACAGAATCTCGGTTCACAATAGTTTAAATATTAGAAGATA